TTTTTACTTACACACACACACACTTTCCTGTAGTCTTTTAGCCAGTTGGATTCAGGCTGGGGTAACAGGAAATCAGTGGAATGACATAACTACTGCTTTACCTTACAAAGGACTGTTAGCACTGGACCAAGGAAGAAGTTATATATGGAAGGGGGAAGGGGAGAGTCATAACAAAAATATAAAAAAAATAAAATTTGGAGCCCTACTTACACTGGAGTAGGAAAAATGAAGTCACCAACCTGGCTCTGCTGTCTGGCAGAGCTGTGTAAATCTAATGACTGACAGACTGTTTTGCACAAAAAAAAGAGCACTTTAGTACAGATAAAATATAAACATAAAATGATTAGAGATCAAGTGGTTTGAACAGGGCATATCACCCCAAAGCTGGCACATAAAGGGGGGCCTGAAGCTTTAGATTATGTGATAAAAGTACCTCCACTGTACTGACATGTTTTGGGGTCCATGCCCCTTTCCTTTCAAGCATGTTGTCTTTTACAGAATAATATGGAGGACAAGAAGAAGGGAGCTGTCACTGCTCTCACTCATTGCCTTGTATATTTCTGCTTGAGCTATTAAAGAAATATTTAAAAGGCTGATTTCTTAAAAAAAACAAACAAAAAGAAACAAGCATGTCACACCTACCTGCTCTGTGCAGTGGTTTTGCACAGAGTAGCCCTGATCCTCCTCTTCTTGGTTCCCCTGCGGGCTCTCCTTGTCCCACCCTTCTGCCGAGTGCCCCCACAGCAAGCAGCTTGCTATGGGATCACCGGAGCAGGGTCGCTCTCAAGCCACTGCTCTGTATGTCCATTCACAAATGAAGCTCTCCTCTCATTGGCTCACTGGCTGTAATTGACAGTAGTAGAAGCCAATGGCTCCTGCTGCTGTCTCAGCCAATGAGGAGGAAGAGTCCCCGGAGTGCAGCTGCTTTTGTGCACTTCGCTGGATTGAAATGGGGCCCAGGTAAGTATTAAGGGGGCTGCTGCACACAGAAGACTTTTTAGCTTCATGAATAGAATGCATGAAGGTTAAAAACTATGAGCCTTTACAACCACTTAGAAGAACACATGTGGAAAGGTTCCTAAAAGTTGCACCTGCTGGCTGGAAACAAGCATACAATAAATTCATATGCAATATATCTTCTTTACTCGACTGAAAAATATAAAAGTTTTTTTTTTTCTATTGAATTGTAATTGACCATAATAAAGAAAATCATTAGTGGTGTCCTTTTATTGCGCACGCTTGTGGAATGGCGTGAAACTGCGGTACTTAAAAATCTCCATGGGTGATGCTTTAAAAATGTCTACAGGTTAGCAGTGCAAAGTTACAGAGGAGGTCTAGTGTGAGAATTATTGCTCTTGCTCTGACGTTTGTGGTGATACCTCACATGTGTGGTTTGAACCATTTACATATGTGGGCATGGCCTAAGTATGCATTCACCACTACGTGCGAGCATGGGGGCACTTTAAACTTTAAAAAAAATAATTAATTTAATGTTTTGGGTTTTTTTGGGTTTTTTTTTTTGCACTGTTCCTTTAAAAAAAAATGTTAATCACTTTTATTCTTATCACATGAAATGCATGCATCCCTTATGATAGAATTAGTGACAGGTCCTCTTTATAGAGAGATATGGGGTCAATAAGACCCCCACATCTCTCCTCTACAATGTAAGAGCATTGGATCAAAAAAAAAAAAAAAAAAAAAAAAAGCATTAATCTAGTGCTTTAACTGCTAGCCTACAGGGCACTTATACCCCCTTCCTGCCCAGGCCAATTTCCAGCTTTCAGCGCTGTCGCACTTTGAATGACAATTGCACGGTCATGCAACACTGTACCTATATGAAATTTTTATCATTTTTTTTGTGACAGATAGAGATTTCTTTTGGTGGTATTTAATCATCTCTGGGTTTTTTATTTTTTCTTAAACCAAAAACCACTGAACATTTTGGAAAAAAAACAATTTTTATTAATTTTTGTTATAAAATTTTGTAAATAAGTGATTTTTCTCCTTCACTGATATGCGCTAATGAGGCTGCAGGGGTGGGCACTGATAGGTGGCACTGATGGGCACTGATGAGGAGGCACTGGTAGGTGGCACTGATGGGCATTGGCAGGCATCACTGATGGGCACTGAAAGGCAGCACTGATATATGGCACTGATAGGCAGCACTGACTGGCACTGTTAGGCTGCACTGACACGGCATTGATAGGCAGCACTGATAGGTGGCAATGATTGGCAGCATTGATAGGTGGCACTGATGGGTGACACTGAAAGGCAGCTCAGATGGGCACTGATATGTGGCATTGATGTGCACTGGTAGGCACTGATATGTGGCACTGATGGGCACTGGCACGAGGCACTGATGGACACTGACAGGTGGCACTGCTGGGGCTACACTGATCATCAGTGCCCTGATGACCAGTGTACATGTCCCCACCACGGAAAGCCGATTACTGGCTCTCTTCTTGAGGAGCGTGACAGCTCGAGAGGAGAGAAATGCCGATAACCGGCATTTCCCTATTTACATGCGATCAGCTGTGACTGGACACAGCTAATCACATGACTGAGCCGACATCTTCGACTCTTTCCGTGATCCGCTGTGTCCGAGGGACACAGCGCACAGCCGATCGCCGCGCGCTCCCTGAGCTGCGCATGCACAGTGAGAATGGGAGGACATCATATGACGTCCTCCCACAACAAGAGAACCACCTTACGCCCGTCATTGGACTATATGGCGGGCGGGAGGTGGTTAAAAAAAAAAAAAATGACCGGAAAGGGAAGTGACATCGCTCCGTTCCTCCAAGGGCATAGAGATTTGTGGTGGCCATCTTTCCTTCACTCATCTCTATGCCCAGCGCCAGGATTGATAATTTCTCAGATAAGGCTGAACTACCGAGAGGCGGCTGGTGGCGAGGGGAGGGGTTTTTTCCGCACCTGTATCGGTGTTTTTGGCTGAAACGCTTCGGCAACTGAAAGTTCGGTGCATCCCTACTATCTACCAGTCAATCATAGCCAGGTGACTGGTAGATTGGTCCTGGGCTTGCCAACTTGCTGCCACTGAACCTGGATGACGGCAGAAGTGGCCGTGGAAGGCGAGAGGCAAGGCAGGAGGGAGTAGATGACCGCGGGTATATGCCGCATAAGCCAATGCCTCCTCTATAGTGCTGGCTGCAATGTCAGGTGGTATGATAGCAACAGCACTCCGCCTCTCATTCCTGGTATTAGGTTCCACACCTGCTGGCAGCGCTGCAACGGTCAATGGGCATAATAGGGTACAGTAAAAGATATATGGGCACAAAAGCATCTATATAGGCACAATAGCATAAAGATGCTATTGTGTCCATATAGATACACAAAAACAGCTATATGGGCACAACATGGCAATTATTCACCATTGGCTGCTGCCTCTGCAGCTAAAGGAGGTAGAGATTGGGGAAGGTAAAACCACAGCTCAACTGCAGGGTTTTACCAACTCCAACCTCACGTGTAAACAGCCGCCAAATGCAACCAAGGGCTAGTTTAAAAATGCGACAGGCACTGCAGCTCCTCTGAAAAGTAATCTAAGCATGTATGACAGGTGGTGAAGAGGCTGATTTAAACCTATAATTTCCATGCAATGCATGCATTTGCAGTTTGGTAGTACAACCATTCTAGGTTTAAACCAGGTGGTGAAGAGGTAACATATCGCCTTTTCACCACTTTTCAAACATCTCTGAAAAGCAATTTTCATGTGGACCACTTTTCAGAGGAGCCTGCTCCACGTTCCTGTGTGGTTTGATTTTGCAACCCATTCATTTGAAGGGGCTGCAAATTGCATCAGGCTGCACAAAAAGTAGTACAACAGTAACCAGAAACCAGCGCTCAAATCTCTCTTGCTGCACTGAAAATATGGAATCAGGCGCTTGCTGAGCTGCCGCCCTTGATAGATCGGGGAATCTTGATACTAGCAGAAAAGAACAAAACAGGGCGCACTTTCCTTGTGCATTACCGTGATAATATGAAATTTATAATAAAAACACAAATGCATAATCACAAGCCAAAAATGTCATAAAAACAGAGACAAGGAGTCAAAGGATGCCAGTCATGGACAGCATAGGTCCTCGGGTAACGTGCTGACGCGTTTCGGGAGTCGAACTCCCTTCCTCAGAGCAATAGATGAAAACACAATGCTTATATATAGGACTAAATGGCAGTGAGAACCCCGGCCACTCCCCCTCTGTGCAAAAAGGGGGACAGGATCCTGCAAGTAATGCCCAAAAAAGGGGGGAGAGGTCCCCAAACATATAGTGAGTAACTTTTAGAAGTGAGAGACTTTGACTATAGTGTGGCAATCAATAAACTTAGAAATAGCAATGGTAATGGCCAGGGGCGGACTGACAATTTGGAGACTCAGGCACTGCCCAAGGGCCCGGGGTCAGTAGGGGGCCCCATGAGATGCTCCTGGTACCTTTTTCATAGGCTTTTTTAAGTTTGGCCAAGGACACAGGGGCCCCATGATCCCCTATTGCCCAGGTAATGGCAATGGTATGAAAATAGCAACAAATTGAGACAAATATGCAGAATAAAAGGATACGCTTTTGTTCATGTCAGAGGTTACATCCACTTTAATTCTCAGTTTTGCCTGGAGAGTACATTTAATCCTAAGCAGTCTGAGAATGTTCATATTTTTATCTACTTCTTATAACACAAGCAGGGGCGGACTGACAACTCATGGGGCCCCTGGGCAATAGGGGATCATGGGGCCCCTGTGTTCTTGCCCAAACTCAAAAAAAGCCTATGAAAAAGGTACCAGGGGCATCTCATGGGGTCCCCTACTGACCCCGGGCCCTCTGGCAGTGCCCGAGTTTCCAAATGGTCAGTCCACCCCTGAACACAAGTACAATTTTTGAAATACACCGATAACATGAAATAACCCATCATGGACAAAAGATGAAAGATGGTACGAAGGAATACCTGGCTGCACAGGAAACCACATATGCCAACCCCAACCCCATACTATGTACCTGTTCTGCTCCTCCAGCTTGCTGAGCAGCTCCAGTTCATCTGGACTGAGGTTCTCCGAGTCTGAGGGGGAGATGCTCAAGGCTGCTGACAAAGATGAATCATCTGGGCTTAGGGCTGGACTGGCCATGTCTACGAGAGGGAGCGGGGCCAGAATGCTCATCTGAAATAACAGGAAATTATCCAGTCAGTGTCTTGAGCAAGAGTGCGACAAAACCAGTGGAAGTTACGGCAGAGACCAAAGTGGATGACTAGGATGAGTTTAAAAACAAAAAAAGTGACAGTTAAAGTACAATACTTATTAAAAGGAAAGTTGGAATGGATTCAGCCAAAGGCTGGACATATTAATAAAGAATTCAGGATCCAGTCAGTCTGATTGAGGGACCAAAAGGAATGTTCTTCCAGTGATAGAAAATGACCTGGCTATAAAAAAAAAAAAAAGTCAGATACAAGTTACATTTTTAGGTATGTTGGCTAGCTAGATTGTGAGATTCGTCCAGTTCTATTAAAAAATGCCCCCTACCCCTCATCCTCATCTACATAGAGATCCCCACATGCCTGCATGGTAGCTACCAACAGTGTTCTATGGGGCCATCTCTTGAATGTCTCCTGCCTTATAGGACCCAGTAGGGAGCTATTGTATAGATGTGGCCAAAGCATTGAAGAACTCTTGGTTTTTGATGTCTGTATGTAATGTGAAAAGGCCACCTGCGATTCACTTGCTCAGCGGGGGATCTGTCCACTGAGAGTGGAGCAAACAGATCACTGGTCTGTGTCTGCTCTGCTTATGCAGAGCAGACACAGACACAGCCAGTTCTGCTCTATGAGCAGTTGCATATAAACAGACCGTGTGTCCATTTACACCCAACTGCCCTCCAATCCAATCCGCCCAGATGAAGGGGAACGGATCCCCTTCTGATTGTCTTCAGTGGATCTCCTCCCTAATTCTCTGACTCAAGGCGCTGGCTCTTAGCAGTTGATGGCCGCTTCATAGAATCCACCCGCAAACTCTCAGAGAATAGAGGGAAGCCACTCATCATAAAAGCTTGTTCAAGTTTATTGAGCTCTCCAATATAAAGATTATTCTACCTGGTTCCCAAAAGCTCCAGCGTCTTTCATTCCATCTAAAGCTTACTCATAGAGTAACCAAGTGGAACAGTCTTACATATTTACATAGTTATTCTGGCTGAAAAAAGATAAACGTCCACCCAGTTTAACCATTTAAAAAAAAAAAGTTATAATCTTACACCCACAGTTGATCCAGAGGAAGGCAAAAAACCCAGCAAAGCATGATCCAATTTGCTCCTGCAGGGGAAAAAATTCCTTCCTGATCCCCTAAGAGGCAATCGGATATTCCCTGGATCAACTTTACCTATAAATGTTAGTATCCAGTTATATTCTGTGTATCTAAGAAAGAATCCAGGACTTTTTAAAGCAATCCACTGAGCTGGCCAGAACCAACTCTTGAGGGAGTCTATTCCACATTTTCACAGCTCTCACTGTGAAGAAACCTTTCCATATTTGGAGATTAAATGTATTTTCCTCCAGATGTAAAGAGTGCCCCCTTGTCCTCTGTGATGACCTCAGGGTGAATAGCTCTACACCGAGTTCACTATATGAACCACTGATGTATTTATACATGGAGATTATATCCCCCTTATGTATTATACATGGAGATCATATCCCCCCTTATGTATTATACATGGAGATCATATCCCCCCTTATGTATTATACATGGAGATCATATCCCCCCTTATGTATTATACATGGATATCATATCCCCCCTTATGTATTATACATGGTGATCATATCCCCCCTTAATCTCCTCTTCTCAAGAGAGAATAAATTCAGTTCCTCTAATCTTTCCTCATAGCTGAGCTCCTCCATGCCTCTTATCAGTTTGGTTGCCCTTCTCTGTACTTTCTCCAGTTCCCCAATGTTCTTTTTGTGAATTGGTGCCCAAAATTGAACTGCATATTCCAGATGAGGTCTTACTAATGATTTGTACTGGGGGAAATATCTCTCTCTCTCTGGAGTCTATACCTCTTTTAATACAAGAGAGGATTTTGCTCGCTTTAGAAACCGCAGCTTGGCATTGCATGCCATTATTAAGCTTGTGATCTACCAGAACTCCCAGATCCTTCTCCACCATTGATTCCCCCAGTTGTACCCCCCCCCCCCAGTATGTATGATGCATGCATATTCTTAGCCCCCAAGTGCAGAACCTTACATTTATCAACATTAAACCTCATTTGCCACATAGTTGCCCAATTAAACAGTGCATTGAGGTCGGCTTGTAAATTGGAGACATCCTGTAAGGACGTTATTCCACTGCACAGCTTGGTGTCATCTTCAAAGACTGAAATGGGATTTTTAATCTCAGACCCTATATCGGTTATAAATATATTAAAAAGAAAGGGTCCCAATACTGAACCCTGGGGTACACCACTGATGACTGCAGACCATTCAGAGTATGAATCATTAACCACTACTCTCTGAACACAATCTTTTAGCCAGTTTTCTATCCATTTACATACGGATTTTCTAAGCCCCTAGACTGTACCTTACACATTAGCCGTGTGTGGGGAACTGTGTCAAACGCTTTTGCAAAATCCAAGTATACCACGTCCACCGCCACCCCTCTGTCCAAGTATACCACGTACACCGCCACTCCTCTGTCCAAGTATACTACATCCACCACCACCCCTTTGTCCAAGTATACCACGTCCACCGCCACCCCTCTGTCCAAGTATACCACGTACACCGCCACTCCTCTGTCCAAGTATACTACATCCACCACCACCCCTTTGTCCAAGTATACCACGTCCACCGCCACCCCTCTGTGCAAGGTTTTGCTCACCTCCTCATAAAAAGAAATCAGATTTGTTTGACAACTTCTGTCTTTCATGAATCCATGCTGTCTGTTGCTTAAAATATTTTTTTCCAGCAAGAACTCATCTATGTGGTCTTTTATTAAACTCTCCAGTATCTTCCCAACTATAGAAATTAAACTAACAGGTCTAGAATTACTTGGTAAAGATTTTGATCCCTTTTTAAATATTGGCACCACATTGGCCTTACACCAATCCAGTGGTACTATGCCAGTCATTAAATAGTCCCCAAAAATTAGAAACAATGCCTTTGAAATGACAGAGCTCAGTTCTTTAAAGGACCTGTGGGTGTATGCCATCCGGTCCAGGTGCTTTATTCACCTTATTCTGTCTAAATATTTTTGGATCATATCAATTGTGAGCCAATGTGGATCATCTGGAGCTGTGTCAATACCATGCCCATTATGGACAAGAGCTCCCCCATGCTCCTTTGTATACACAGAGCTGAAGAAGGTATTTAATAAATTTGCCTTCTCTTTGTCCCCAGTCACCCACTCTAGATTATTTTGTAAAGGGCCTACATGCTCGGACCGAACCTTTTTACTATTAATATATTTGAAGAATTTTTTGGGGTTGGTCCTGCTATCTTTTGCAATCTGCCGTTCATTTTCAATTTTTGAGGCCTTTGTTTCCTTTTTGCATATTCTGTTATATTCTCTGTAATGTTTAAACGATGATAGCATTCCTCATTTTTTTATATTTAATAAAAGCCCTTTTCTTATTTTCTATAGCCTTTTTAATTTTGGCCACATAGGTTTGATTTTTAGCCTTATAAACTCGTTTCCCATGAGAATATATTTTGCAGTGTGTTCACATACAGTCTTTTTGAAGAACTCCCATTTCTGTGTTGTGTTCGATGCCAATATTGCCTCCTAGTCTATGTCTTGAAGAGCAGCAATCAGCCTTGCCAAATTTGCTCTCCTAAAGTTGAGCAGTTTTATTTTCCCCATATGTGCCTGTTTACAGCTAACAATAAATGGAATCATGTTATGATCACTGCTACCCAGATGTTCTTTTATATGGACATTCGTAATAAGCTCTGCATGGTTTGAGATTACCAGGTCCAGCAGAGCATCATTCCTAGTTGGGGCCTCTGAACTGTACCATACAATTGTCCTGTAGTAGGTTTATACAATTTTGCCCTTTAACTGTGCCTGCAGTACCATTACTCCAGTAAGGTAGTTAAAATCCCCCATTATTATCACTGTTCCAGCTCTTGCAGCCCTTTTGATCTGTGCAAGGAGCTGAGTTTCCATCACCTCATTAACACTAGGAGGCCTATAACAAACTCCAATGATGACCTTTGTAGTACACATCCCCATGTGCAGTTCCACCCATAATACTCCAGCCTCATCACATTCTTCATCAACTAAGTCCTCTTTCACACTCGCTCTGAGATCACTTCTCACATAGAGACAGAGACAGACACCACAACCTTTCCTTTTTAACCTGTCTCTCCGAAAGAGAATATAGCCAGGAATATTAATGGCCCAGTCACGAGAAGAATGAAGCCAAGATTTGCAATACTAAAAAAATCATAGTTCTCTTCATGCACCAAAGCTTCCAACTCACCTATTTTGCTTGGCAGACTTCTGGCATATTGGAGAGCTCAAAAAACTTGAACAAAGCTTTAAATGAGTGGCTTCCCTTTATTCTCTGACAGTTTGCAGGTAGAATAAAGCAAGCCTGTTGCATTGCCATGCAGGAACCAAGTACAGGTCCATTTTGGGAATGACATTACAGTTGTGTTCCCTGCACACCCTGGCAGAAATCCTGAAATTTTGCCATAGATATTGAAAATATGACTGATCATGTCAAAAAATTATTTGAAGGATAGTGATCATATGAAGCTATTTATTATCACATAATTGTTTGGCTCCTTTCTAAATCATAATGATAATGGAAATCACCCAAATGGCCATTAACAAAAGTTTCCATCTCCTGGAATGTTTGGCCTTGGTACAGACACACAAGGGGACACACACAGGATAAAAAAAGACAATTAAAAGTTTAATTTCCCACATCTGTGGCTTTTTAAAGTGTGTAACAAGGTAATGGAACTTTATAAAAATGGAAAAGGATATAAAAAGATATTGAAAGCCCTGAATAGTACTGCTCAAATACTGGAAAATTCAGGGATCTCTTGATACCAAGGCAAGGTCATGTAGACCAAGAAAGATAGCAGCCACAACTGCCAGAATAATTGTTCGGAATACAAAGAAAGCCGGTTAAGTGTGTCAAGGTGTTGTTGGGCATATTGTAATCAGGATTT